GCAGCCCTGCAGTGCTCTCCCTCTCCTCCCAGGATGCAGGAGCACCCAGGCTTGCAGAAGAGCTTGTCTACAAACTTACAAAGGCCACATTTTTCATTTAAACATCAACTCTCATCTGAAACATCACAATAAACGTGCACAGCTAAAGAGTGTTTTAATGAGTTGTACAGCAAAAGATATTTTTTCTGTATTTTTATTTCTCAGCTCAACATCAGTAGGCACCAGCACTGCCTTGACACCACTGATTTCATCCTTCATGCCCAAATGATTCGTTACGTCCATGCAACAGCCCTTCCAATAATAGAAACAGTTTACCCTGGTAAATAAGGAATAACACCTACCACACTTCAAACTACAGTCAGATATTTATTTATTTAGAAGGCCAACATCCAAGTTCAGAGAGGAAAAAAAAAAATCTTAAAAAACAAACAGTCCCGAAACAACGACTAACTTCTACACCAACATTTCTCCAGCAACACATTGCTTTCTGGCATTAAGCCACGGGAATCCAGTGCTTTTGTTCCACCCCTTGAATCTCATTTAGTGTCTAAGCACTTAAGGATAAACAGGAGACCATCCGGAAAGAAACCTGCTCTTCCCAAGGCTTCAGGTATGAATATATGGGAGAAGGTCCTTGCAACTGCAGCAGCAGTTTGAGCACCCAACAGTCCTAAGCATAGATGGAATTCATATTCACAATCACATAGACGGCATTCATATTCACAATTTGAGAGCTTATATTCTTCATCTACTTCCCTGATCTCCTGAATGTCCTCAAACGATGCATGGATACATTTTATGCACTCGTTTGTCCTACTGTGCTCCAAAAATCCAAAATAGATTTTTTATCGCAGCCTCTCCAGTTGTAGGACTCGGAGACAGTAAACAAGCAAGCAGGGAATGAGAAACACTTATATTAATAGCAACAACACGCTGTTCATAAGCAGAGGTGTCATTTATTACCAAGCAAAAGGGACAGATTACCAAAAATACCATGGCAGAGTTAGCAGGACGAACAGACCTGGCTTCGCCCTTTGCTTAGAGACCACAGAAAATCCAGCTTGGCTTATCCTTGTTTGCTCCTCCTCACGTTTGGAGAGGAAGGAAGGTTTCTCAGCACCTCTCCACTGCATGATATGCTGACACAGACGAGCAGGGACAGCTCTTGGACCAAGTCATTAGCGTTTAAATGGTGCCTTGCTCCCTCAGCTAGATTATCTCCTCGTCTCCTCCAAATTTTTATGTTCTGCACTGGATTCAGGAAAGCCAAGGCTATGCGTTAACTCATTGACTCCATATGTTCAACCGTCCTCTGCAGCGTTAGCCAGCGATCGGCAAGCAAAGGATTAGCACGTTATATAGGCACAGGGCTTGGCAGAGCCTGATCTCACTTCATCTCAGGACCTCACCTCAGCTGTACATGTTTTTACACATGCTCAGAAGACAAGGTCATGTTCATTGTGCCCTTGCTAGCACACACTGGGAGCTCACTGGAAGCCTTAGCCAAGACATGACGTTCGCCTGCAGTCAGCTTTAATTCCAGGTGCTAAAGGGAGACATAATTAAAGCAGGAAGAAGAAAAATCCAAGGCAGGAGCACGGCAGCACATTAGTGTGTCCACCAAATCCTCAAACTGGTCATTTGTGTTTCGTCACCCAAGAGCAAGAGGTCATTTAAGGCTGACTGAGGCAGCAGAAAGGAGATGCTTAGATCAAGCAAGAGGGATCCAGACATTATGCACATACAAAAGGAAAAGGACGCGATGCTAAAACCCAGCGGCAGTCATTATTCCCACACACGCAAGTACACAGAGCACCTTCGAAGCAAGCAAAGTCCTTGTCAGCAATGACCTGACAAGCCAACACAAGTGGAGAAATCCTAGGCTAATGCTGAGCACAACGACACGATGATGAGACGTGCCAATCTGCAGCACCCGACCCCAAATTACTTGGGAGCACAGCTCAAATCAGTAGGTCTGCACTTATTTACCCATGCAGAGCATCACCACTCAGTGTGGCCACTCTGGAGCTTCACACTTATTTGATATGGGGATACCTGCCTTAATGCAACTTTGCATAAAACGACTCACATATAACGTTAAAGTTGTCATTAGTAGTGTTTTTCTTTCAGTGTTGCTCAGCCCACCATTTTATTCACTGCTGGTCTCACCTCTTCACCTCATTAACTGCTTTCTTGCTTCTGGCCATCAGAGTAGTTCCAAAATTGCTGTTCTTTGTTCAAAGAAAAAAAAAAAAAGGCTGCTATTGTAACAGAAGCTAAATTAAAAGACTCATGCCATGAACCAGGGCAGACTGTAAGTGGCAAAAGGCCAACTAAAAAGGAGATTTGTTATTTTCCCTTCCCAAGAGGATTAAGAAAAATGTACAAGTTTTCAAAATTGTTCCAGTCTTTTTCCCCAGTGTATGTGAATATGAGAGAGATTCAAATTCCTCCCAGATTGCTTCTCCGAAGGAACAGCCTATGCAGAACTGCAGAGTTTCTTGCCTTGCTAACATTAGGACAACAAATGATGTCCCTGCCACCACGCTGGAGCGCATCTGTCCCACAAATTATTACCTCTTACCAGCAATCTTGCAGCACAGGTAAAAACTGCTTGGGGTCTCACTGGGAATAAAAAACATTGTGAGTAAAAGCAACTGGAATTATTGTTATCTCAGCAGTGAAAATGAGTAGGGCTGAAGGCCACTCTTCCCCAGCACCTCCTACTTGGTCCTTCTTAGATGGGGTGGGTGGAGAGAGGCATGCCCTTATACACCATGTGCTGGGCACCTTTGCTTCCTAGGGGACTAGGGAGAAGAAAAAGCACATTCATAAATCCAGCTACTTCTCTCAGAGACCGCCAGCCTGCTTGTCCACATGGTGCCCTCCAGAGCAGAAGGTCCATGGGGCAGGAACCTTGTTTGCCTCATGGTATGGAAAACAAATAAACAAACAAAACACATAACAGCAACACTTGGGTACAACCAACTGGCCCCAAACTCCCAATCAAGGTTTCCCTTCTCACCTCGCCATCCCCAAACCTACTTCAGAGACACCACCACAAGCAGAAAGAAGAGACAGACGAGTTTCTCATACTAGGCACAAGAGCATTCCACAAGCTGAATTTTTGTCCCTTGGACAAAAGGAGAGGGGCCAAGAAGCTTCAGAGGTGGTACAGGGGCTGGCGGCAGTGCTGGAGCAGCCAGTGCTGCTTCCGCTATGGGCAGGATGTCCTAGGAACACAAGGAACACGCAGGACCATCAACATCGCCCAGCCTTCATGTAGGACATGCCAGGGAAAGGAGAAACACAACTGCATCAGTCCTGAACTCAGATCAAAGAAAAAAAAACAATAAAAACAAAATGCATCTAAAAAAAAAAAAAAAACTTCTCTATGCATCAGAAACTGCAGATATCAATACTTAAATGCTGACATTAATACTGACATTTTAAACACCGAGAAATAAAACATTCTGCTTAGCACCACCCTGCCCCAAACCAGGGGCCACTTTTAACTAAAGGAAAGAATACATCTTTTAAAAAATAGACTTTTTAGATTTAGGAGCTGCTAACAGCCTGTTGAGCAGGCAGGGCCAGCGGTAAACAAGGTGCCGAGATGCACTACCCTGCAGGCAGCGCGCGCGGGCCAAGTGGGACGAGCCCCAAATCGGAGTGAAATTTCAACGCACCAAGTTGAGCGGTGAGATAAGGGGCTGTAATCAAATTACAGCACAAACAGCTCCATTCATCCACGCGCGGCCGGAGCGGCTCCGAGTGCCGGCTGGGATCAAACCCTCCATAGAGTGAAAAGCAAATTCTGGGGCTGCTCCTTGTTTTCCTGATGCTCGAAGGAAAAACAGCCCCCATCTTTGCACCACAATGCTATCCGGGGAGAAGGGCACAAGACTAATTATCGGGCTAGAAAAACAAGAAGAGTTGGACTTCTAGTATTTACATTCCCATTCCTCTTCCAGAGGAGACCCACAAAGTCAACAAGGCGACCCGAGGCATCCACAACATATTTGCAATGCAAGTTGTTTTAATCCGAAAGGCCTAGGCAGAGTCCAGGCATCCAATAAACCTGCCTGAGCCTATTTATTTTTTGCCCCTAAGCAAATATATTCTTCACAGCACCTTCCACTACATATACAGTGGAATACACTTTTTTTTTTTTTGACGGAAAGCCACCACAACCCATCAGCACCAGGATTTTGGGGAACACTGAGCACAATACCTGCGTTTCCTCCCCTTGCAGTGCTGGAAAAAGCACCTTCTAGCACAAAGAGGCATTTGGACCATTCACTCTTTTAATAAGTGCTGCAAGCAAGAACAACAACTGGGGGGGGAGGACAAACCCTCTTCCTCCTCCTCCTGCTGCTGCTCTCGCTGGTGTCTTTGTTGTCCAGGGCTCTTCCCGCAGCCCCTTTGGCTCCCCCCACCTGTTCCCTGCACCCCGGGGTAGGGAGGCAGGAGCTTAGGGAGCAGGGGGAGGATCCAGAGCACTGCAAATAGGGAGCGCTGTAGGAAAGGGGGGGTGGAAAGGAAGAAAGGAGGGAGGGAACGAGGGAGGGGGTGACTGCTCTCTCCCCATCCTGCACCCCCCCAAATACAGCTGGCAAGCAGCAATGAGGGTGCCTCGCGCACCCGCCAGAGCCCTGCCCCCTTGCAAGGGGGGTGTCCCTCAGCCCCACACTCTGAGCAACGGCAAGGGGGATGGGGGGGGTCCCCAGCACCTTTCCCCATTGCAAACAGAGCCCCCCGACTCCAACAGCACCCGGCGCCCTCCTAAAGCAACGAGGCCACCCGCCCCACCCTGCAAAGAGGGTGCCCCCCACCCCAGCACCCTGCCCCATAGGAAGGGGGTGTGGGGCGCAGCATCCTGCCACTTCATGGGAGGGTCAACCCCAGCGCCCTGGCCAGGGGGGCGCCCCCAGCACCCCGTCCCATCCCAAGGGGGGCGCCGCCGCCCCCTCGCCAGGGGGCGCCCCGCGGGCCCGCACCTCGTTTTGGAGGAGAGGAAGGCGAGCTTGATGAGGCCGTAGGTGAAGAGCTGGATACTCTCCTTGGCGATGCTGGCCACGCGCAGCCGGTGCTCTAGGATGTGCAGCTCCATCGTTTCCTCTTTCTCATTTGTAGTTCATCTACCCGCGGCGCCTATTTTGGGGCTCTTCAATAGCGAGGGGGGTGTGGGGGGGGTAGGGAGGACGCTGCCTGTCCCCCACGCCGTGTCCTCCCGCCGGTGCTGCCGCGGCGGAGCGGGGAGGCCCGGGCCGGGCCGGGGGCGCGGGGCCGAGCGCCGAGCAGCTGGGCTACCCGGGAACAAACAACTTGCCACTCAGCGCGACCTCGCGCGCATGCGCGGCGCCGCGGGGCATCACGGGACTTGTAGTCCGCGGCGCCTCACTCCCCCACCCCCTCAAGTCACCGCCTCTTTATTTATTTATTTATTTATTTATTTATTTACTTACTTACTTACTTACTTACTTACTTACTTACTTACTTTTCTCTCCGTTTAATTGCACCTTGTACTTAGACCCTGGTGCCAGAGGGTTAGGAAATCCCCAAGACTGCGACTGTGAAGGTTTTGGTAGCTACTAAGGAATTAAATATCTGTACCTTGCCCTGTTTATTTCCCTGTGTTTGGTTGATATGGGCCCTGGGACTATTCCTATGCATAGCCAAAAGGAGAAAAAAAAAAAAAGGCAAAATTTTTTTTTTTTTTTAAAGCATTTTGCGATTTTTGCATAAAAGTAGTAATGAGGTAAACTAAGGTACAGACCCATGTCCCAGTGCGGGTGGCCAAGCACCTATCCAGCTGCTCTCCTTCCCCATGTGGACAGGGCAGCATCAGTGGTGGTGAACCTCAGATTTTGGGCTGGTGGGAATATCGAGTTCTGCTCTGGAGATATTCAGCTAAACTAGATTTTGCAGCCCATTTCACTGGGGTTTGTTCCCACAGGAAGGCTGCACGTCTGCCTTGCGCCAGAGCTCGGATGATGGTGCTGTGATTTGGAAAGCTGGAGAGGGGTTTAATCTGATCCCAGCGCTAGCTGGAGGTCTTGCTCTTCAAAGCATTGAGTGTGTCTGTGCTCAGCTACGAAAAGTGCCAGCACCTGCCCCTGTCCCCGTGGGTCTCTGTTATCTCTGCTCCTTGCAGGCCAAAGGAAATGGCCAGAGATGAAACAGGCTCCATCGAGGTTGCTCTGAGCTTGCCAAGGAAACCGGAGCAGCACAGTCCGAATTGCTTCTAGGAAAGGCTGCAAAACCTCCCTCTTTGTCAAGATTTTCCATCACGAGCAGGAATGCATGTGGAGTTATCAAATGTTCCCTTTCTCACTTCAAGGAAAAATATTCTGCCTCCAAGCAGAGCTTTCTTAGCCCAGCGAGGCCAGAGACTCCCGGAAAGCCACCGGGGACTGCGCTATTACCAGTCTAATTACCACCGAAAAGGCCTACGCACAACAGTGAGAGATGGCAGAGCGGGCCCAAAGGTAAAATAAGAGGGACCTTTTGAAGCATGTGAATCATCGGAGGCTTTTGCTCTGCTTACGGAGAAGGAGAAAAGAGGCCCTCAGTGAAGTCATCTGGATTTACTAAAAAAAAAAAAAGAAGAATCAAGCAAAAGAGCAAAAAATTCCCCAAACCCACAAAGCATTAAAAGAACCCTTCTTCGTTTTGTAAGTTTACATCTGGTGCTCTCCAAAACTACAAGTTCTTTCCTGGGTCTGATCAACCGCTTGAGTTTTCCACATCCCCAAGGCCTCTCTGAGCTGCAGGCCCCAGTGCAGACCTTAGGCCTGCACGAACCTTCGTGTCCTTGACCAGAGGAAGCTTTAGGGAAAAAATAAAAGCCTCACCAACCCCCAACCCCATTTTCTACACATGAAACATATGCCCAGCTCAGAACAGGTGGGTTTTTCTAGCTCAGGCAACCTGGCAATGAGCCCAAGACCTGTTGGGTGCCTCAGCTCCCATTGTGATGAATATTCAAACCTCACTTGCTCTTGCTGCCAGGTCTACCCGGGACATTTCATTCAGGAAGCAGTGGAATATTTTGTTATTATGGATAGGACTCTAAAATATCTTTTTTTTTTTTTAATCACTGCTGTTCCAAGTCCTTCACATTTTGCAGCTCAAATGGAGTCCTGGCCTAGATGCAGCGCTCTTTTGTGCAAGATATTTTATTAAAAAAATGAACATGTTCTGCCCACATGGCTTCCAATGTTGGCTGCTACCAAATACACTGGGCATCAAGAACCAAGTAATGAAGAGAATGGACAAGAGAACAGGAAGATGAGATAGCAGCACAACAAATCTCAAGGTACCTCTTGCCTGGATGGAGAGCTCTTTCTCCGCACAGCACACGCAGGAGCGGCTCTCACTTATGGGTCATAGAATCATAGAATCATTATGGCTGGAAAAGACCTTCAAGATCATCAAGTCCAACTGTAAACCCATCACCACCATGCCTCCTAAACCATGTCCCGAAGTGCCTCATCTACATGCTTCTTGAACACTGTTGTCTGGAAAAGAGTTTTGCAAAGAGTCTAGGTCAGAGATGACTGATGACACAAGCATGGGCTACCACAGTCCCCTGGGGCTGGGGTAGTTCCCTCTCCCAGAGGATACAGACTGTACTTGAACAACTGAGTAGTTTTCAGGCATCTCAGCATCTGCTCGTGGCTGCATGGGGAGCAGCTCTCTCTTGTTTGCCCTGTGGCACTTGCTGGCTACAAGTGAGGTCTTCAGAAGGAACCCAACACTTTAGGGTAGCCACTAGCTCAAGAAGGTGACCTGTATTTTGGGGGAATGTCACCTGAGCTTTGACCTTTTATATCAAGAACGGTGTTCAGTGACTTCACCAGCAGTCATCTGTGTGACTCCAGTAATCGGGAGTCTTTTGCCTGAGTGTTAAATTGCTTCCAAAGCAAACTGCAGTCTAGCACTCCAATCTCTGCATGCAGCTTCCAAACCTAACTGAGATGCTTAACAACAATGGGTGTTTCAGGGGAGAAAAAATGAAAAACATAGGAACAGCTTAGGTGAAAAGAATGTAATTATGCCCAGTGGCGAACAGTTCACCAGGATCCACAGTGTATGTAGATAAGAAAAAGGGAGGATTTCTGATCATGTGTGACCATGTGAGTCATTATGTTTTATGCAGTTACTACAAAATACAGTTGGATATTTTAATATTATTTTGTTTAGATAGGGTAAGCAAGTTCTTAAATCATTTGTTGTCTCCTCTATACCATTAAAAAGCCCCCAATTACCCTATTTAGATCTCATAGATAAAGCTATGGAAGCTTTTTATGGATGGATTTTAGTATGCAGTATCTAAATTCCTGGCAATAAAGTCTCATTTTCAGAAAATAAGTATAATTTAAATTAAAGTCCCTCACATGATTTGCCTGACATTGCACTGTGCAAACCCAATATTTCTCTGCTGTTGGCAGAATTACACTTCTCTTTCAGAGATATCTGAAGTTCAACAGCATCTTGACCTCTGGCTAGGACTCGTATCAGCTTCTATGATCTAAAATATGAAGACAAATCCTAATGTGAATGATATAATGCCAACCCACTGGATAAATACGCCCAAGGCAAGATGGAACCACTGTCACAGCTGTTTTCCTAGTTTGCTTTTCCATAGTAGATGGAGCATATGAAGGCCTTAACACATTTGCAGCTCTGGTGTAAAACTGAGGTCAGCGCATTTTTCTGGGGTCCCTCTCAGACTCGATACACAGGGGACATTGCAATCTGCTTCAGTATCTGAGCTCAGAGAGTACCATTTTGAAAGCAGCCACATTCAAAGCTTTGAGGGCTGGAGGGATCTTCAGATCAGTCATGGGCTTTGACCAAAAGGGAAGCCATGAGGTTCCTCAACAGCCTTAACCAGTTTATTCTGAGCTGAAAGTTATTTAGTAACTATAATAATCCTGGTACTCTTTGCTTAAGTTGAACAGGCCTCTTCGATCAAGGGAGGATAACGCTTCTTCATACAAAAGGGTAAACAGAGGCACAGAGAGGCAAGCAAGGAACCAAGCTCACACCAAGGAGTTATTAGTGCTTTGGAAGTTCAATTCCTAGGCTGCTGCTTGTTCATGAGGCCTCCATGTGGTTGTCTGAGGCAGATGGATGGGACAGATGTGCAAGCTGCTGCACACTTTGATGACAATCAGTATCTTTGAAGAAGTCAATCCTTTAAAGGAAAAAAAAGGTGTAAAAATGGAAAAGCAAAACAAAACAAAACCCTTCCCAGATGATAGCTTCTGGGCTTGCTCATGAAAAAATTAGCCATTTGTTTAATTGAAAAGAGTGATTTATCAAGCTAATTTCCTTCTAGCAACCAGAGACCTTTCAAAAGTTGATTGCAATTAATATGCCAGTGTTTCAAAGCAATTTATTCAACTACCAAATAAGCTAATGAAGACTTTTAATTCAGTGTTCAAGTACACAGTGGGTTGAGCAGGTTGGTCGTTTCCTGCTCCTAGGGCAGCTGAGCTGAGGAGGAGACCTCGCAGCTGCACCAGATCCTGGCTGCCTGGGGAGGCATTCCTGCCCACGCACAAGTTGTGTCCCTGCTAACCCAAGCAATGGCAAAGAGCTCCAATGAAACATTTACAAGCCAGCTGGCAAATAGGGACTGTACAACTAAGTACCTTTGTCGGGCATGAAAACACCTCACCCTGTGCTTGCTACCTGTGTTTTATGTGCCAGTGACACTAACAGTTAATGTCCTGGGTACATATTGCAGAAGAACAGAAAACCACGGGATCCCCAATACAACCGCATCCCCATCCCCATCCCCATCCCCATCCCCATCCCCATCCCCAACCCCATCCCTATCCCTATCCCTATCCCTATCCCTATCCCTATCCCTATCCCTATCCCTGTCGAAGACAGACAGGACTTGCTCATGCCAAGCCTGGGAGGAGTCACTTGAAGATTTAAGGCTGGAGTTGTCCTCAAGTTCTTACTTCTGCTAGCTATTGACTGACAAAACTTCTTCGTACCCTTAGTTCAAAGGTATAGTCACTCTCATGAAACCCTTAGTAACGAGTAGGTGCCTTAATACATCTCTCCCACAAATTTCCTGGAAGCTTCAAAGTTTGGAAGGGAAAACAATTATTGATCAAAGAAAGGTAATTGATACAGATACTGCTGAACCAAAATGTTTTATGACCTAAGAGACTAAAGATGCCTTGCC